TTTGACATCTGAGCAAAAAATAAGTGTGTTTAGCTCTCTTATTTTTCTTTCTTTCTTTCTTTGTGAGCAATGGCTAGGATGATTTCTGTGTGTTTTATAATTCCACAGAAACATTACTTCCTCATTTAATTCTTCTTATTTCTGTGCAATAGCAAAATACCATCTTTTTCCACTCTTTCTGATATTTTCACAAGTGAAGTCCATAAGTGTTCTAATTTCACTGGCTTGATGCCTTCAACTAAATAATGTTAAACCTGTTTGTGCACTAGCATTTTGTCACTGAAATTGGCATCACTACTGCAGAAGTATAGTACCCTGAGACCCTGACTCTTGACTAACATACCTTCAGATACTTATTCGCCATTCTAGTATTGATTCTTCCTTTCCCCTAAATTGTATGTAACAGTGTGTGAAATATTTTTGGCACTGTTCATTAAATGAAGTGAGCACATCACAGGAGAAGTTAGAGACTGTATAACAAGAATTAAAAGTTAATATGTAGCAGGATAGTTGCACAAAACTGATGTTTTAATTATCAAAACCAGTAGGCTGAATTTGACATGGAGTATGACAGTGTGACAATGCCTGTAACTTGTTGCAGTTTTGCCTTAATGGAACAAGCAGACAAGGCTTCCATTTTGAGGAGCAGAGAGATGAGGAAAAAGGGTGGGCATAGGATCAAATCATAATGACTTCGTGATTTTCTTCAGTAAACTAATTGATTTCAGTAACCTTTTCAAAACCCATTTTCTGGAGTATCTCTTGCCAGCGTCATCTTTCATTGAACCTACAGTAAGCATGGCTGCTGGGGTACTTTACTGGCTGCTTAAAAAAGCTAAAGATGACTGGGAGACCAGAAGGAATGAATTCTGTTCTTCATAGTTAAGACCAGCTTTTACATTGTTGGTCTATAGATTTATGCAAACAGTGGCAGGAACCCCACCATGTCTGATTGTGGGCTCCCGAGTTCAAGACAGACAAGGAACTATTGGAGAGAGTTCAAGGGAGGGCAACGAAAATGATTGGGAACTGGAGCATCTCCCTTATGAGGAAAGGCTGAGGGAACTGGGCCTTTTCAGCCTGGAGAAGATAAGACTGAGAGGGGATCTCATCGATGCTTATAAATACCTTAAGGGTGGATGTCAAGAGGATGGGGCCAGACTCTTTTCAGTGGTGCCCCGTGACAGGTTAAGGGGCAACGGGCACAAACTGAAACATAGGACGTTCCATCTGAATATGTGGAAGAACTTCTATTCATTGAGGGTGACCGAGCACGGGAACAGGCTGCCCAGAGAGGTTGTGGAGTCTCCTTCTCTGGAGATGTTCAAAATCTGCCTGGATACCGTCCTGTGCATCTTGGTGCAGGTGACCCTGCTTTGGCAGGGGGTTGGACTGGATGATCTCCAGAGGTCCCTTCCAACCCTGACCAGTCTGTATTCTATGATCTGCTGTTTTAATCGTACAAATCTGAAGTGTTTCTCTCTGTGGGCTTATTTTGGAGAAATCCATAAAGTGAGCTCCAGGCTCAATTTAACTTTTGAATATGATGTGTTTTACACAATGTGGCATTTTTCAAGTGGGAAGCCTGTAAGATGTGTCTGAAGGTAGATATGAACAATCTACTGAAAGCTAATAAATAGACCTGTGCTCCCTAGTGTCCATTTGCATGCCCATTTGCATAAGCACAGTGGTGCTTAGCAGGTAGCTTACACCTTTTTCATCAAAGAATAAGCTTTCTTGCATTTACCACATAGTAAGAGCATGCATGAAGTAGTTACTGTTGAATATTTGATGCGTGCTAAATTCAAGCCCTCTCTTATTTTGCAAAGACATGCATATGTCTTTCCATTATGGGACCTAACTCGTTTTAATAACCTTTTAATTAACCTCACTGTAGGCAGAAGATTGGAAATGTTCTTTTTTTTCCAGAGGTTGGAAATGGTTATTTATGGAAAAATAATTGACATGCTGTAACTGTGCAAGCATAAAGCAAGCTGTATGTACTGGCCAGTCTAAATAACTGCAAGCACATGTGACAGTCAGTGACAGACAAGAAAAAAGTAATCCCAGCTGCCCCAGCATGCATTCCTTGATGCTCTAGGACTTTATTTTGTGGTTATATTGACCATATATGTAAGGCTTATCTGTATTCATGTTGGACTTGAAGTAATCATCCCTCCTGGAGTGCTCGGAGACACCCAGCTGCCTCTGCCGCACTCGCTCTCTGCAGTCAAATATTTGTGCATCTCCCAATGCATCCAGTCTTATCCAGATTGTCTCCCCGTTAGTTTGGGTATTGGAGATTTAACAAGTCTGTATAAATACAGCTCACAGTTCCTCGATCAACATTTTATTCCTGTTTTAATGGTGAAGCAATTGAGGTGTTCTGATCGGTGTTTTAAAAGATTATAAAACAGTTTTCAACAAATCACTGTGTTTTTCCCTTTCTTTATCATCTGTAGGCTCTGTATATCTCTGAATTCATAGATGCACGATGGGCAAAGTATTGTTTCCAGAAGAATGTGTGTTTTGCTTCTATAAAAGGAGTAGGTTTTGAAGTTCTGTGGTAGTTCAGGAATTTTTGAGTAATCAAATCATCTTAGCTTTGAAGCTAAGATTTTTTTTGGCAGGTTCAGAGAAACATTTTAGTTGGCATTTTTCTCCCTAGAGAGCGTCAAACAGTGCACAAGGTGAAAAGAGTGAGATTAGCCATTGAAAATGTTTATGTTTATGGTGAAGGAACCTCTTGACTTCGCAGCTTAATATTGGTGATATGGGAAGTGTCCGTCTGAACCTGAAGGCCTCGGACTGCCATTTTGGGAGGCAAGGAGCGAGTTGGGGATGGAAAGACTGGAGTTTGTATTCTTTCTGCTCTGTTACCCATTGCTATCTTCATGGATCTGACACTCTGTTTATCTGACAGTGCGCTCAGTACTGCTTCGCCAGGGAAAATTGCACAAAACAAGCCCAGTGCATCAGCATTTTCATTGTGTATTAAGCTGAGCCTCCCTTCACATGGTCACATCCCCTTTTTAATCTGGGATTCCATGTCCCTTTCCCAGTCCAGCCTGTTTCTGTGGTGTCTATTGCTGGTCTCCCTGAGCTTCTGTTTCTGTGGTTTGAGTGTTTTTTTGTGTGGCTGAGTGTTAAGACCTGCAGGACTTTTGGAAGTGGCGTTGTTTGGGGGTTAGGCAATACACTGATTTAGTGTTAGTAGTTTGTCACAGACTGAGGTGATGGCTGCGTTCAAGTTGGATTTCCTCCCAGAGATGATGGTGGACCATTGCTCCTTGAATGCTAGCCCTGTGTAAGTATTTTGTCTTCATGTCTAAGTTTATAACTAAAGTGATAGTTGGAATTGGTGTCTCTGAAACCTCTGCTGTCTGATGAACTCCTGTTGATGTGGGGGGGGGGGGGGTGGAGGGGAGAAAGATTGCAGAGCCTGCAGATGGTTTTCCTGAAGAAATCCTAGTGGGCATTGACAATTGATGTTGGGTTCTGGATGGGGGAGGGAAAAAATCTGATAATTTTGGGGATGGGGGCTAAGGAGGACTAAAGCTATTTGGCAGTACTGTTTGTAGTATGCTACAGGTGCTGATATTATAAAATCAGTTATTTAAATCAGTTGTTGGGAGAACAGTTTCTGTTCTTCCCTGTTAATGAGTCTAGATGAAATTTTTTAATTAGACGTGAAAGATTCCTTGTGTACTGTTGAGGTCATGTTAAGAGTTGCCCAGTTAACAGGAGCCACGCTGTGCTCTTGAAGCTACCCACGGCATAGGAGGGAGGGCTGAAAATTATTACTGGAAGAGGGTGAATGATTTCCAGTTCTTCTCAATTGGAATGAAAAGACATTGAATGAAAAGAGGTAGTTTACCTTTTTGTAAAAGGTATTGTTTGCCTTGGCTATTCGGAGAGGTGCTGACCCTTTCTAAGTGGAAAGGTAGAAAGGAGTGAAAGGTTTTAGGATGATTCCCTTCCCTTCTAGTAAGAAGCTTTGTTGTTTCTGAGGTCTGTTCATACAGCGATAAAATTAGGATCTTTCCCTGGCATCAGTTTTTTGTTAGGCTCTGAACAGCAGTGTATTGAGGGGGAAAAAAGTTAACTAAACATTAACTGGTTTGGAATTTATTTATTTTTTTAAATTCTGTTCAAGGGGGAATATGATTGCAGATGGACAGTGAGAAGAACGCTGTTCACTGTAATGTGCGGTTAATAAGCCATTCAAAAACTGTCTTTAAAGGAAAAAACCAGAGATGAATAGAGCTGATTACTCTGGAAGAAGGCCACCTGTATTCTTCAGCAAAGAGTTTGGGGGCAGGGGGAATCATTGTATAGTTGCTATTGCAGTCCCCATGTCCTTTCTAGATTATGCAGGGGTCGGTCAGCAATTTTAACCTACTAATCACTATAGCTACAATAGGATGTCGCTACGGTCAGTCTTCCACAGAGACAGGTCCTGTGGTATACCAGGCTGTGACTACCGATAATGAGACCTCAAATTGCACTTGGCAAGCAATGAGGAGTTAATACAGAAAGCAGTGTATGACTCTCAACTAGCTGGGTGGAGTATAACACAGTTTTATTAATAGGTTATAAACTGTTTATATGGCTAGATGTAATGCCTTGAAGCCTATTGAAGATTCCCATACTCAAAACTTCCATGTTGTTGTAGTCTGAGTGACGCTTTTTTCCTATCTTAACACTGTACCATTACTGAACCTGGTTCAGTCTGTGGCTAACAAGATTGTCTAGTCCCAACCTGTCCGCATACAAACTAAGCCTGTTTTTTTTCTTCCAAATATTCGTGAAAGCTCCCTAGTTTGACGAAGAGCTATTGCCTTCTAAACCTTTAATGAAACTTCTCATCTGTTCCGTTGTACCAGTTTCTCTGTTTTAAGATGGATCTTCACCCTGGGAGACAGTTCAGATAATCACATTTAAAAAACAACAAAAAAAATGTTATCCTCTCATTTTCAGTGGTTACTGATATCTTCACTAGTCGGAGGGTAGACCGAGTTTAGGTTCCTTCCTGTTCTGGTTTCTTTTTCTGTAAAATTTTACATGGTTGAACTAGTGATATCTTTCAGTCCTCTCAACAGATTTATGTCCGGAATTCCAGATGTTGACTACATTATAGGAACAAACGTGAAGAGAAGTTTTAAACAGCTGCGTAGAGAATGTTTGGTTTCCAAGTACACACCTTGCCAATGAATGTGAATGATGTTTCTGAATATGCTCTGGTATGCAGGACTGGGAATGTGCAAGAGTCTGTCTCTATATGTGTATTTTAATCATATATATTTATATATGTGTAGAAATATTTTTTTTTTTTTATCTCGCTGTAAACATGATTCTTCTAGCTGCAATACCATTGAAAATCTGTGGAAAGGCATAGACCAGAAATTCCTTCTTGTTTTTCATAGCTCAAAGAAAATGAATGGCACACTGGATCACCCAGACCAACCTGATCTAGATGCTATCAAGATGTTTGTGGGTCAGGTCCCGCGGAGCTGGTGTGAGAAGGATCTAAGAGAACTTTTTGAACAGTATGGTGCTGTCTATGAAATCAATGTCTTGAGGGACAGGAGCCAAAACCCTCCTCAAAGCAAAGGTGAGAACTTCTGTACTTCTTATGTGAGACTTGGGGTCTCAGCTGCTTTCACATAGTTACAATCTTGGCTGTTTGCATATTGAAACATCCCTGTGTGTTGGAGCTCTGCGTGACCAGGTATGCATGCAAGCCCAGGCTTTCGAGTCTTTAAGTGTGTGTGCGCCTAATTATAGTTGGACTGTGATCCAGTCATTAGCTGAGCTGAGGAGAATCATAATTTTTTTTTTTAGAGCTCAGAAGTGATGGGAATGCTTGAAGAGTATGAATTGTAATTGCAAAGCAGAATATCGAATTAATATTGTGTTGCTCCAGAGCATCATTGTTTTGCTGTGATGTGATCAAAATGTTGCTGGAAGTGTGACGGTTTCACATAAAATCTAAAATTGCAGTATTAGTCATTTGTGTATGTCAAATCCTAACTAAATGGTTTACCTGGATTTGCAGTTCAGTTATATGCAATATCTTATTTCCTATGAAACTAGGTAAGTTTTTCGTACTAGCAAATAATTGTTGAGTTTGATAATGGAAATAACAACAATTATTTGGCGGATGTCTCTAAATGTTTGTATTAATGGTGTATTGGTGATATCGGGTCAGTTCTGAATATATCCTCTTTTGTTGAACCTAGAAATCTTTTTTTAAACAGTCACAATCAGTAGTACCTACTTACTTCAATGTCTCACCCCTTCTACTTGTCATACGTTTTGCATTGGAAGGATAGAAGCAGGACTTGCAACCTCTGTACAGCATGTCAAGATTCATAGTGTTCTTTCTTGACTAGCATTTTGTTTCAATTGCAGGGTGCTGTTTTGTTACATTTTATACCCGTAAAGCTGCACTAGAAGCACAGAATGCTCTTCACAACATGAAGATCCTCCCAGGGGTAAGAGAAGAGCCATGCTTTCTTTGCAACTCTGTCTTGTTTTTCTGAGCTTTGGCACCACTGATGTACAAACATAAGTTATCTTGCCTTCAAATAATGTTTTAAAAGAACTATTCAAAAGAATCTTGGAGCATTTGCGAGAATTCTGGAGCATTTGGCAGAATAATATGGTAGTGAAGTGGGTGGGCATGGCTCTTATGATACGCTCTGAGGAGGAATGATGGCATATCAGGAAAGCTTTTCTTTCTTCTAGAAATTTGGGTATTGTTACATATGCGCTTCTATTGAGGCAATTTAGGCTACTATTTCTTTCTTCCACAATTCTTATGAGATGTATTTCATATAGTATAAAGTGAATGCATCTGGGATTAAATAATCTTGTTACATTTCAGATGCACCATCCTATCCAGATGAAACCAGCTGACAGTGAAAAGAGTAATGGTAAGCTTTACTAAAGTCTGACTTTGGCATCATTTGTGCTAAAAGGGAAGCTTGAGGATTTTTCTTTTGTTGAAGAGCTTCTGATAAAGTGTTCTGAATTGGAGACCTGATTTTTTTTTTTTTTTAAAGAAAAAAAAAAGAAAAGAAAAATACGTGTTTTCAATATAGTTGTTAGCATAATGGATGTCTCTTAAATTCCATGACTCAGTATCTCCCACTGCTGCTGCTTGTGATAGAACCATATTGTCAGTTAGGGAAACATCCAGTGAGTTGTTCTTTGAACTAAGGTGGTTTAAATCTTTGTTGGGGACATGGACAGTGGCATTGAGTGCACCCTCAGCAAGTTTGTGGATGACGCCAAGCTGAATGTTGTGATTGATACCCTAGAGGGAAGGGATGCCATCCAGAGGGAGCTTGGCAGGCTTGAGAGGTGGGCCCATTTGAACCTCATGAAGTTCAATAAGGCCAAGTGCAAGGTCCAGCATATGGGTAGCAGCAATCTCAAACATGGATACAGGCTGGGCGATGAGTGAATCGAGAGCAGCCCTGCAGAGAAGGACTTGGGAGTGTTGGTTGATGAGAAGCTGAACATGACCTGGCAATGTGTGCTTGCAGCCCAGAAAACAAACCATATTCTAGGCTGCATCAAAAGAAAGACTATAATAGGTCAAAGGAGGTGATTCTGCCCCGTTATTCTGCTCTCGTGAGACCCTGCCTGGAGTACTGTGTTCCGCTCTGGGGCCCCCAGCACAAGAAGGACATGGACCTGTTGGAGTGGGTCCAGAGGAGGCCACAAAGATGATCCGAGGGCTGGAGCACCTCTGCTGTGAGGAGAGGCTGAGGGAGTTGGGGCTGTGCAGCCTGGAGAAGAGAAGGCTCCAGGGAGACCTTAAAGCAGCCTGCCAGTACCTAAAAGGGCCTACAAGGAAGATGGGGAGGGACTTTTTAGTATGGCAGGTAGTGACAGGACAAAGGGCAATGGCTTTGCACTGGAAGAGGGAAGATTTAGATTGGATATTAGGAAAAAATTCTTCCCGATGAGGGTGGTGAAGCAGTGGCGCAGGTTGCCCAGAGAAGCCGTGGCTGCCCCATCCCTGGAAGTGTTCAAGGCCAGGTTGGATGGGGCTTTGAGCAGCGTGGTCTGGTGGAAGGTGTCCTTGCCCATGGCAGGGGGGGTGCAATGGGATGGGCTTTAAGGTCCTTCCAACCCAAACTATTCTGTGATTCTATGAAATTTAGAAATGCTTTTTCAAGTGCTTGACAAATTTGAAGCAAGGCCTATTGCAGCTAGGGTAAGAGTTAAAACTTCTTGTAGCATACAAGGGAGATTGAGAATTCACAACAGTTTAGTAGAGAAAAAACTGTGAATGTTTCTGCACATTGGCCATTTCAAATGGATTAAGAGATTTAGCATCTACCATTGGGTAAATGATAATTTATCCATGTACTCCCATGATGAGTTTATATACATACATACAGACATGCTCAAATGTGTGGGGGTCTATATATATTGCTGCAAGATAAGCAAAGAAAGTGATTAGCATCTTGTAGTTTCAACCTTTCTAGGCTTGGCTGAGTTTTATTTTCTTAATTTGCCATAGTTACTGTAAGATTACTGTTGCATCAGGGAGAAGATAATCCTGGTTCCAGAAAGCTTACATCTTAAGATAATTGAAAACAGAAGATGGGATATACGGGTAACATAGTAGGAGTAATTCCATCTGCAAATTCCTCCGTGTGTATACAAAATACGTTTCTGTGTAAATATATCTAGAAAGGAGTAATTCCTTTGAAGTATTGTTGGGAGGAGAACAGAATAGGTTCTCTAAACTAAAATTGATCTTGTATTATACACGCACACACAGGAATATCCTGGGAAAATAATGGAAAGAGGAAAGAAGTATTTAATGGAATTTTAGAGTGACAGTTCTAAGGCTGTTACAGAATTATGAGTTTTACTAAAAGGTGTAGGTGAAAATATGAATAAGAAAAATATTTTAACTTACTATTAATAAAAGGGATTCTGGATCTCTTGAACTGAAATGGACTGCAAAAAGGATTTGAAAGCAGCTTTCTGCTCCAAAAACTTGAAAGTGAACTGAGTACAACAAGATTTAATAGTTAAAGTCATGTCAGCTGGAATAGTTTGGAATTTTCCTCTTCAACACCATAGAAGACTCAGCAAATAAGTTGATTTCCCCTCACCATGGCACTGAATAGGGGGAGACTTTCTCTCTTGAAGCTTCAAATGGTGCTACAGCCTTCATCATATTATGTTTTATGTGGTGCTGAATGTTTTATTTGGAAACTGGTTTATATTTCCAAATGATACTCTGCATAATTTGCTTCATCCTTTAAAAGCAAGTATTTCAGAGGTGATTAGCGTCCTTAAATACGTAAAATGAGAGGTATAAAGTTTTGTTCTGGATTTGAGTTTACCTCACTCCCTTAAGTGACCTTAAACTGACATTAGTAACCGCTAACTGAAAAGTTAAGAGGAATGTCTTTCTGGACCATTTATTTTAACGTAGCCTGCACACTGAAAGGTATTCTTCAGCTCTAATGTATCTAGTAGCATCAGCATTTAGAGGCAGGATACAGTAGCACACACTCCATCGCTCTGATTTGAGGTGTTATTTTCATGCTTTTGGTACAGATCAGAATGGACGAATCTGAAACAGAACTGAAACTGTCCTGTTTTAGCAACTGCTGTTGCTTCCACTGTTGAGACAGGAGCATGAGGAAATAGGCACATCTAAATTTAAGTGATTGGCATGATAAAGAGGCTAGAAAGAAGCTTTCTGCAGCTCACTTACCTAATTTTGTCTAAACAGGCAAGTTGGTAGTCTAAAGATAGAAGAGACAGAGGAGAGAGGATGAAAATAGTCCGATAAAATACATACATACAAGTCTTCTCTCACTCAGCAGGAGCTGAATGTAGGAGATGCAGGGAAGTGCTGAATCTGATATATTTTTTCCTTTTCTTACATTCTTGCAGTTCGCAGGCTTGGAAGGGAGAAACAGTCAGCAAAATGTAAACATAAAACATCATAAAACAGGCATCCTTCAGGTTCATTGAGGTATCTCATATGCATCCTCTTAAATTGAAGAGATTCCATTATTGAGAATCTGATTTTGACAAGCCCCTACCCTAAATACAAGGGGAATAACTGCAGTTGATGGAGAAGACTTGACGACATAAGACCTAGTAAGCACATACTTGCTGGTAATACTCTTATCTTTTGATTTCTTAGCAGTAGAAGATAGGAAGTTGTTTATTGGAATGATATCCAAGAAGTGCAATGAAAATGATATCCGAGTGATGTTCTCCCCCTTTGGGCAGATTGAAGAATGCAGGATATTACGGGGCCCAGATGGCCTGAGCCGAGGTAAGCAGGAAGCTTTTCCGACAGTTCAAGGTTCTCCGCTGGATGCTACCTTTTGCAACTCAAGGTGGCATTTCAGCTCTTTCTGTGATTTCTTCATCTCCTCCTGGCATTTTCATTTCTTTATTCATCCCAGTAACTGTGGATGTAGTGAATGACTTGGTTCCTTTTTGTTCTTTCCCCAGGTTGTGCATTTGTGACTTTTACAACAAGAGCCATGGCACAAACAGCAATCAAAGCAATGCACCAAGCACAAACCATGGAGGTAAAACAAGTTAGTGGGTGTCAGGAGAGATGTAATTTGTCAGGCAGTCACTGTGGAGTTTGGAGGACTAGAGAGCAGAGAGAAGGATAAGTGCAGTGTGTGTTTCTTTGCAAATGCTATTCCTGGACCTTTGTGTTTGTTCTGCTCCTATTTTTAGAGCTCGAGATAGAAACATCATCTGCAGAGAAAATACCAAAATGCAAGATAGAATTAAAAGCAAATGACATTTTGAACCTTTAATGAAATGTACTATTTAAATATACATATCTGTATGTATATATGCATGTGGAGGGAGGGGAGTGCTTCCAGTGACTGGGTCTTAATGCAGTATTTTTGTGACTGCTGGGGATAGCAAGTATGTAACTGTTTGAATTGCTGTTTGCAGGGTTGCTCTTCTCCCATTGTGGTGAAATTTGCGGACACGCAGAAGGACAAAGAGCAGAAACGAATTGCTCAGCAACTCCAGCAACAAATGCAACAGATCAGTGCTGCCTCTGTATGGGGAAACCTGGCTGGTCTCAACACACTTGGACCCCAATACTTAGCAGTGAGTTTCTGATTTGGGTTCTTTTCATCTCTTCAGGTATTACAGTGTCTAATCATCTTGTAGTGTTTAATGTATTCATTTTTAGAAGACTCCTGATAGATAGAAGCAGGGTTCTTAATCCCCATTTTGTGGATGAGGAGGCTGAAATTAAGTTATGTGCCAACAGCTGGTCAGGATACATTTAAGTGAGGATTTCAATGCTAGTCACTGTAGCCCTAACTACTGAAACTTTTTTTTCCCTGTCTTCTGTAGAATGACTTTGTGCTGGGAAGATTTTTTTCATATATTACGACCTCAATGTTTACCTATATAAACCATTTTCATGTCGAACTGATGACATAGTTCTTGTACTCCTCTTCCATTTTTCCTTTTTTTAGCCTTTTTTTCTCTCATCCCCTTCCAGTGAAACTTAGAACAGTACTTGGTGCTGTCCAAGTAGAAAAAGTGATCAGGTTGGAAGCACCGAGCACCTGACAGTGCACAGTAAAAAACCAAACCAAGCCAAACCCCCCCAAAAAACCCCACAGAAAATAAACTACTCTCTTCAGCAGAAATGACACAACAGAAGGCAGTCTACTGTTTGTCACTGATTTTAGTTGATTTTGCTGGGTCCCTAAAGGGTGAACTCTTCATAAACTGATGTGCACTGGCTCATGTGGGTTGCCAGAGTAGTTATGAGAATTCATGCAATGTAAGATCTGGGGAACAGAAAAGGAAAATTTCTTCTCGTTCTTGGTGTGGTGTATTGTTGAAGTCGGGGCATTCTCTCTTTTACTACTGCTTTTAAGTTTGGTAGATGGGAGTTTTTTATAATGCCACCTAGTTAACGGAGAAAAGAATAAGAAATCCATCTAAATAGCTTCTGAGCTGAGGCTTGAAATTTCTCTCAAGGCTACTGTGCTTAAGGAAAGTGGAGGGGGTTCCCTCTCACAGTGGCCCTCTGGTTTTGGTATGGCATTTGCCATGTGTCCTATGCTGGCAGTGTCAGCTGTAAGGTCTGGCTTGAGGTAGTATATCCTTAGGGAATGCAATCCTGCCTGAGGTGCTTTGAATAGGAGTGCTCTGTCACTACTGATTCTACTGTTTTTGTCTTGGTGCATTAGCTATAAACTTCCCTCAACATTGATTATGTTGAGTGAGGAAAGCATTGTGCTGTTGCTTTGGCTGCAATGCGATGCATGGGCGACATGGATTTTCACAATGGTGGTACTCTGGCTGTGTTGTGTAAGGGGAATTCTCTTTACACTTTGCTATGATGTGGTGCATGGGCAGTGGGAATTCCCTTTGTGACGGCGCTCTGGCTGTGGTGTGATGCAGTTTCTCCCAGAAGCGGAGCCAGCCCTCACTCTCACTCTTGTTCTGTTTTTTGGTGTAATGTCTAGCTTTATTTGCAGCTCCTTCAGCAGACAGCAGCTGCGTCATCTGGGAACCTGAACACATTGAGCAGCCTCCACCCAATGGGAGGTGAGTTTTTTTTCTACCAGAAGACAAGTTCAGTGCCAAAGAGGAGGAGGGTAGAGAAGGTAGCCAAAAGGCTTGTAGACACATTAACCTCATTTGAAATAAGTAGCCTTGAGTTTACCCACTCCTTTGGAATGACAGGAATCCTCTGCTACAAGTGTGGATGTTCCTTCTTAATCTTAGTTAAGCATTGTTCCCAAGGTAAGTTGTGGTACGCTGGCAACGTCCCCTGCCTCTGGCATTTAAAATTACCTTCCCTTGGGAGTACAAAAAGATGGCTCTATTTATTTGTTTTCATCCAAACAGGAGCGTATGTGAAGCATTGTGTTTTGAAGTAAGCACTAATGCATGTGTTTCAGTGATAATGGATTCTTAGGCTTTTCATTTTAAATTCTTTGTTCTCAAATACATCAAAGCTGAAAAATGCAATGCTGGTAGAAATGTGAACTAGTCCTTCATTCAGGTTCTTTAATTCCTTCGTTTGAATTGCGATTGATTACACCATTACTGTTGGAGAAATATCAGCTTAATGGGTATGAGCCAAATTCCTTCCTGTGGACTGCTAGTCAGAATATTCACTAAGTATAGCAGTACTGGGGCTGCAAACTGATTGTCCCTTCTGTCTTCACAGGGTAGGGAATAATAAAACACATGTTAGTAACTCCATTCACCACGTTCTCCAAATTCTTCAGCTGGCAGAAAAACTATAGTTTTGGGTTTAATACTGAACATTTGAAGCTTTTAAAATTGCCTCCTGAAGTTGTACAGTAGGTCACAATATTACATGCCCCGTCTGTGCAGAGGCTGATGTAAAAGTGTTAAGAAACTGAAGTGTCTTTGTACATCTGACTTGTGTTGGTACACCCATCAGTAACAATTAGAAGCTTTTGCAAAGTGTTACATTTTCAGTTGTAAGAACTTTGATTTATACTTGAGGTTGATTCTAACCATATCTTCTTATGTTTACTTTTTTCATGTTGGACCTCTTCAGAGCTCTTAGATCTAAGACTCTTGCCAAAAGCAATTTTTTTCAAATCGGTTTCACTAATATCCTGTGTGGTGGTGATCTATAATAGATTTTGTTATGCGCATGATAGTGTTTTTTCTCCCTCTTGTGTCTGTTTAAAACCAAGTGGTAATAAAGGAGAAAAACAGTACAGCAGTTCATCTTAATTGTTACTACAATAAGGACTGGGAGAGAGGGAAGGGGCTAACTAGCTGAGGTTACCTATGAAGTTTCCAGGGTAATTCTGTCTTCACTATTTAAAAGAACACCTTAAAATTTGAGAACTCGGATGTATAAATAGCATGTTGCATGGTGTTTTGAAAGAATTATTCCAAGTCTGTGATTCTTCACAGAAAGAGTTTTAGTTTCAAAGTCCTGTTAGTATCTCAGCTGATCTCCTTTTTTGAAATTCATAGAAAGAAAAATTAAATAGGTAATTAGATCCCAAACTATATCAGACTTTGTAGACAAAATTTAATCTTGACCCTGTTTGAAAGCAGATGGCAAAACAATGTGATGACAAGAGGACAGGTGCAGCATGCACATGCCAGACTGCTTCAGAAAGGAAGCAAGCTGCTCTGTTCTTCACTAGCTCTAACACTTGCACTTTTAACCCTCTGTAGTGCAGTGAAAACAGAAAAATACAATCTTTGGTTTTAACTTCATGCTTTTATGTTACAATGACGTCTTGAGAAACTAAATAAAGGCAGAATCCTCTTGTTTGAGGCACTAAATGTGGTTAGGGAAACAGACTCTGTCACAAAGAGAAAACAATTGAAAAAGATAAAAAAACCACCAAACAAATGATGCTAAAGGTAGCAGAAGTTTTTTTAGAAAACAAATATTTTACACTGCATTGTCACTTACATTCTTATGTTTTCTGTTTACATATTTAAATTACAAAACTGAGATGTGAATTATTTGAGATGTGTACTTTGTCACCAAGTACTTAGTAAGCATCAAAAAGATGAGGTGCAGCATCTGCCTAGGATGTTTTGGTGTTGTTATATGAATGGTGATTAATTTAATTTTGATTTTAATTTTGTAGGGAAGAATTACTAGGGATTGTCTGAAGTCAGATGAAAAGAGGAGGAATTGTTAGAATAAGCAAAGGTATAGACAAAAAAGGGAAATAAGGGAAACGGGAAGAGAGGCGGAATTGGAAGAATGGAGCTAGCCTACCAAAGGATGGCTAAAATACAGAATTCAGAAGATCGATATCAGTGACAATCACATGGCAGGAAGAGAGGGCAAACTACAGTGTCAGTACTGACCAAATGGTTTCATTCAAAAATTATGACTCAAAATTAAGGTGAGTCAGATGAGTAAATTGACCAGTAAAAGTTCATCAACACAGGGACACCTTCCTCCCCCTGCAGTATTCCTGACTGCTTGCCCACAACGTGCCTGATGTTTCCCATTTTCCTTACCACTTTTGTTTGACCAACTGACTAGCCTACACGTACATTGGCCGATCTTATGATCAGGAGTTGCCACTTGACATTGTTGCACAATTGACTGTTGCTTCTTGGCTGCTAAGGGGACCAAACTCAGCTGATGGTGGGTTAAAGTGTGACTTTGTGGCCGCTGTGGTGCGTAGGCCTTCTGGAAAGAATTCTGTAGTTACTGCTGTTCCCATACAAAGAGAGTGGAGGGACATAAGAGAAGAGGAGGTTAATGCCCTGGTGTCTAGACAAGTTCTCTAACTTGCAGATGAGCTGTCAGACCCTGGCTTAACTCTCAGTTAAAATTGTTACGCTTTTATGACTGGAGAGAACACTGCTTGAAAATTTCTGTACTCTGGAGTCTACATCTTGGATCATGACTACCTGATCTTTTACTGAAACTCATCTATCTGGGCAAAGAAAAACTTTTTTAGTTATAACAAGGAATTGCAATGTGGACAAGATCAGTGACTAGTATTAAGCCTGTTGTTTTTCACCTCCTTCCCTTTACTCCCTTGTGATGTGCTGAGGTTGCTGGATCTGTTAAGCTTGGATGATGGTGACAATTATAGGTGAAAACTCTGTGCATTCTTCAATGTGTTGCAGGACTGAATGCGATGCAATTGCAGAACCTGGCTGCGTTAGCAGCTGCGGCCAGCGCGGCTCAGAATACACCGAGTGGTACCTCTGCCCTCACTTCCTCCAGCAGTCCCCTGAGTGTGCTCACCAGCTCAGGTAAGAGACTGCCTATGCTGTAGTGTGTTACAACATGGGTTGCCTTAGGAGTCATTTCAGGATAGACGTCACCTGTTTTGTCTATCCCTTTTTGTCACTTCATGTTGATTCTTTAATAGATAAGCAGTTTTACTAGTAGATTCGCTGGCCTTTGTTTAGGGTGGATATCTTTGCCACCAGCAAAGGCTATTTTACCTGCTGTGTTCCTTCCTCCAAATGGTCAGATTAATTTAGAGTAAAAAGAATTTTTGAGGTCATCAGGAAGCAGAAAGGTAGGTGACCTCTTTCCAGTCACGTTATTACAATCTCATCACATACTGGGTTTATCTGTGATTTTAGACAAGTACTGCGGCATATGTGCCCTGTCCCTCTGGAGGCGGAGGCAGAAGATGCCTTAAGCATGAAGTGATGCATTCTGTGCACTTAGAACAGTACAGTTTATATTCCTCTGGCATTAATGAAGACAAAGATACTGTAACTACTTCGTAGAAATAGAATAAACAGACCCCCTAGCACAGTCTTCTCACCGGTAACTAGCGATAGGACGAGAGGAAACAGTCTCAAGTTGCGCCAGGGGAGGTTCAGGCTGGACGTTAGAAAGAACTTCTTCACTGTTAGAGTTGTTAAGCATTGGAACAGGCTCCCCAGGGAGGTGGTGGAGTCATCGTCCCTGGAGATTGTCAAAAAACATTTAGATGTGATGCTTCAAGACATGGTTTAGTGGGCATGGTGGCATCGGTTATACGGTTGGACTTGATGATCTTTGAGGTCTCTTCCAACCATAATGATTCTATGATTCTATGATTTATTGGAAAGCTGTTGTCTAGAACTGAGTATGTAACTTGGACATAAAAATCAGTATCTTGCTTTTTGTTTTTTTGGGGTCTTTTTTAGTTGGGTTTTTCTTGTTTGGTTTTTTTATTTAGGTTTTTTTTTTGGTTGGTTTTTTTAAATTTAGGTTATATACATTATCCAGAGAGGCTAGAATGTCCAAGTAGTGTTCTTTTGCTGCCTTATTGTTAGATGTGATCGTGAAATGCAACAAACAAGAAAACAAAAAATAAATTAAATTGTGCTTACATCAGACATCCTCAGTTTTTACCACAAATGAGGATCAGTATCATACTCAGCTATTTCTATCCTATTTTCAGTTATTTCTAAATCCTGACATGGGAAGGGAGACCCTGTATTTTCAGGGTGTCCGTTTTCTGACATCTATGGTGTGGTATGTGGGTTTGGTTTTGGGTTTTTTTGTTTTTCATAAAAAGCAAAATTGCCTATCTAGTTTTGGAAGTCCAGCCTACAGACTTGATATCCTCACCTGTGATTGTGAGACACCAAATTTTAAATTTCCACAGGTAGCTTTCTGTGTAGGAGGACCAAGGAGCTCTACTAAGAGATTATAAAGAGATTACAAGGAAAAGCTCTTTAGAAAACCTTATGTCACATGATCAGAAGTTAAACCCTGGGTGCTTTGCACAGTTTTCTACTTAGGGAAATCCCCAAGAAAGAATTCAGTTCAAAGAGTGTTCTGTTGCTGGACAGGGTTTTCTTACATAAAAACTTTGTGGTCTGCAATCCTTAAAGATTAAAATTTCAAAATTTATCTTGACTCCCAACCTTGGTATCCTCGTCTATAATTAAACAAAGAGTTGAGGCCATAGAAGACCTGCCTTTATAACCCACTCATGCTTCTTCATCGTAGAGAAAGCATGAAGGTGAACGTATCTGAGAATTTCCTCTGTATTTCCTCATGCAGTAGCAGAGCTGGAATTGTCAGGTTACAATTTGCTGTGACTGGCGTTTAAAACTAAGATTTCCTTGTTGGCTGTCCTGTCTACTGACCTGGAGCGAGTTTGTTCTCTGATTTGTTGAGGTGGGGAAGGGGGCTGGCAGGTTGCAAAGTTCAAATGCCGAATGTGTTAGAAAAGGCGGAGAGAGCCTCTTCTCAGAAGTGTACAGTGAAAGGATAAGGGCAATGGACACTATTTGCAACAGAGAAAATTCTGAGTGGATATAGAAGAAAAATAAAATTAATGGTGAGAGTGATTAAGCTCAGGAACTGGGTGCCAGCGGGGCTGTGGAATCTGTCATTTCAGAGATTCAGAATGCAATTGGAAAGGACCCTGAACAGACTGACCTAACTCAGAGGTTAGACCAGCTCTGAGGAGAGCATTAGACTAGATGATCCACAGAGGTCCCTTTCAACTGAAGTTATGCTACTATTGTGTGATTCTTTGGGATTGGTTTCCCCTCCATGAGTTTTGGCTGTTCCACAGCACTCCACAGGTTCCTTTTCCCTTGACGAGAGACATATCTCAGGACTCTGTTCCACTTTTGATCATGCTGGTGGAGGGGCCAGGGAGTGGGGAGCAGTCCCTTTTTGAGTACCTCCCGTGCTGAATCCAAACAACTGTCTGGTTGCCAGTCATATCAATAAATGATGATGTGTCAACAATCAAGTAATCATGATGAGTCATTTGAATTAATATCCTATACAGATGTATCAGTCAGTTCAGTCTTCACAGACTTGTAACATGAAGCAATCACTGTCATATTACTCTTTAAACTTAATTTCAAGTATAATTTTAACCAGTAGCGATTAGCTTTGTTCAAAAGAAATAAAAAATTCTGGAGGATATGTGGTCTATATGTAGTCACCGACATCAAACTCTGAAACAGTTTTGGTGCTTTCCATTAGAGGTATGAATATGGTTCATCTTTTAAAACTGTACTTAAATTGGGGGGAATGGAAGCCTCAATGTATACAGACAGGATTCAATCTTGTGATACTTCCTGTAATTATACAGCTTTTAAACTCTTTACTCTGAACTCGCTTTTATCTCTTATAAAAGCAAACTTGAAATTCCCTTTTGATTAATATTTATGTGTGCATTCAAACTGTATATATTCACATAGAAGGCTGTTGGACTCGACACATTCAGAGCATCCCTCTTGAACCATACCTAGACCTTGAAAAAATTCAGTATGTACCTGTTCAGTACCATGTGTTAGTAAATGCCTTCCTTGTCTGTGGGACATACGGCAACATCAACTGTGATAACCTCTTAAACCTAACTGCACATGAGATGGCTACTGGCTTGACTTCTGTCCATCTGTCATCCAAATGTTCACCTGATGCTTACTTGGACATCTCTCCCAGATTGTCCTCAAATTGCATAATTGGTGGAAAAATCCAGACAATCATTATGCCTAGTTACCTTTCTAAATTTTCTTTCTTCTGCACTGATATCTTTTGTGTTTGGGGAACTTGGAAGTCCACACAGCACAGAGTCTGTGGACTATGGATAGGTTACATGTCAGAATGGTTGAACTCAGAGGTGTTAAGTATTGTTGTTGTGCTGTCTTCCTACTCATTTCAGGTGATTTTGTTTAGACATTTCAAAGCAGTATTGTGTATTTTGATGTGGAATAGGATGGAGCAAAACCTTCAACCTTACAATAAAGCAGCTACTCTTTGGAACTGAACAGACTGCTGCTGCATCCACCTATAGGTAAACCATGTTACAGAGACTGTGGCCTTAGATAAACTCATTTAAATTGCTAGCTTGTGAGAGGGACATTCAGGAAAATATTACAGAAGTATTTTAGGATTGGAGCATCTTGTCTGCCATCTTTTCAGCTTGGACCTCAGTAAGAATTGTCTGCTGCAGAGCAAAATAGAATGGTTGCAAAAGCTGGTGTATGTTTCCAGTTCTCCTCCTTTCAAAGGCAACCATCAAAGACTAAATGACTTTGCTGGCCTTAGTGTGTGTCTCCAGCAACGTTGTTTACAGAGACATCATAGTCTTTCTGCTTTTACTGGAACTAATTCTGGTACAGTTCAGTCAGATTCATTGCCTGAATTCTGGTGCTCTTTAGCTAGTTGCCTGGAGGCTAGATGACTGAATTAGAACAGACTTACTCTTCCCTCAGTTTCCCTACCTCCACAAGTTGGTAATTGATGTCCAAATTTCGTTATGTTTCCTAGCTATTCTTTACTACGTATTCAATTTTTCTGAAAAGCTTTTGAAGTATTTTCAGCTGGTTCTCTTAGAGTTAGCTTTTTTGACTAGATATAACTCAGTAAATAGATCTAAGAGAACATAACTCAGTAGCAAGCGAAACAAACCAACAACCCCCCAAAAACTGCGCAGAAGCAATGTTAAGAATTAAGGGTGGAGTAAAGAACATGTATAAAGCTATATTGGTTTTCCATCCCCATTACTATGTGCTGTTTTCTGATCTGAAATAATACAGAAAAACTAGAAGAAGAGAAAGGATGACTAGAACTGTGGAACTCCTTCTGTATTAGGAGCAACAAGGGAACCTGAAAAATAAGACTGACATGGGAGGAGGATATGATTGAAGCCTACAAACGCATTAATGTTGTGATGAAGATGAGTAGGGAAAGACCAGTTGTTACGTATTTCAAGACAAGAATTACAGGATATCAGGTGAAGTTGTCAGCTGACAGTTCAGAAATACAAAGAGCTATTTCTTTGCATAGTGCATGATTAAATTGCAGAACTCGTGCCTTAGAACATAGCAGAGTCAAAAAATTCAGTGTTCAAAATGCACTGAAATTAATGAATGAAAATCGTAACTTTAATACAAAGACATTGCCCCGGGCTGAAAAAAATCCTAGATTCGCAAATCGCTGCATTGGTATATAGACTATACCTAGGAAGTATTCCTTTGTAATTGCCCTGTATTTCTGCTCTACTGTTATTTATCTGCCTTTAGTCATCACCAGAAATGGGATGCTGACTCAGTACAGCAATTCCTGTATACAAATGATAAAGAAAATAAACCGAACAGTGTTAAATTTTCTTGGCATTTTCAGTACTGAAGCATTTCTTGTTTTGCTTAGAGAGATTTCTGATAAAGTCAGCTAAACTAAAATAACTCTGTGTTGGCTTTTTGTAGTGGTTTAAATGAATTTATTTAAAATCACAACCTTTTTAAAGTAGGGAAAGGGAAAGCACCCGTTTTCTCTTGTACTTTGCTCTCTAGCCTTGGCTTCATTCTTTTTTCCCTGTACCACTACTATTTTATTGTGGGTTTTGGGTTGGGGGGGGGGCACGTTTAAATGGTGTTCTTATCTGTCTAATGTAATGTCTTCTAGAATTATGCAGATTAGCAATGAAGTGTTGCAGAAACAAGTGATAATCTAAAATTGAGGCAGCTGTATCATTTCTGCATGCTGGCTTTTATTCAGCCAGCTGTGCTATATTTTTCTACCAACTTGAGGGTTATACTGTAACTTGTCTGTATTTTTCCAACATTTAATATGCTAATCTGATAGTAAGATGGGAAGTGTCTCCTTTTCTTCAGAGTAAGCAACTTAAAATATAGTTTGGGACATTGTCTGACAATTTCTGACTTGTTAAGAGGGTTTGTTTAGAACTTTTCCTACAGGAGGTTTGTCGTTTCCTCAGTACAAAAACTAAACAGTAACGGAAAGTGCAGCTCCCTGGTTTCTCATGCAGCTTTTGTTGGGTACAGCTTTTGCTGGGGCTTGTTAGGCAAGTTTGCTATATTCCATTTAAATAGCTACTATAGTCCACTCCAGCAGAGACTTTGTGCCACATATATGAAGTGGTGAATATGTAGTGTGTGTGAATGTGCTTGAAAGATGCTAACAACTCTTTTGAAAGTTTTAATGGATGTACACAGCATAACCGAGAATCACAGAAACCCGGAAGAAAACTGACAATGCCTGAATTTCAGTTCTTCTGTTACCCACTTGATCAGACAGAGAAATTCCTCTTCAAAGCCGACTACAGCATGCCCTCTACAGCACCAGTCTTCAGTATCTTTTAATTTGTAGAAGCTGTAAATATTTTCCAGTGCATCTTGTACAGTAAATTTAAACTTCTGGGTTAATAGCAACATGCATAGCTTTTCTGATTTACCTTTTCTAGGTTTCTAAGTAGTCCACAAACCTGTTAGGAAAACCGCTACTAGATAATCATAAAAATACTATTATTTTCTTATTTTATCATGTCCATAACCTTTGTGGATGACCTTAATTTGAACTTCTCATATACCAGTTTGGCAAACTTGTTTCTCGTGGTTTTGATGTCTATTTCTGTAGAACTAACTCTACCTGCTGTAGAATTTGGGAGGCTGTGTAAGGTGTTAGTCTGCTAGGTACTGTATCTGTAGACTTCTCTTACTGAGTAAACATGGTTGAAGATGTTAGTGGCACAGTCAACAGAGGATAGACTATGTATTTTGAATGTATGTTCCAAGACTTTTCTTGGCCCTAGCCCTAGCTTCTGCAGCAGGACTTTTAATGGAAAATTATTTCATGTGTCAGAATAATCTGGGCATCTGCTGTTCCTGTTCTGGCAGTATGGGAAAACCATATGTTCAGTGTGACTGGAGCTTTGCTTAATGTCCCTAGTACCTGTGTTTCAGGTCTTTTTCACCTTGTGTGATGTTTCAAGAATAGATGTTAATATGTAGAAAGTGATTCTTACTCACTTTAGTCAGCGGGAAACAGACATTGCTGCTGGTCACCTTACGTCGAGGTACAAAGTTTAGCTAACATTTGAATATTGTCTGAATCTTAGGTGTCTTACACTTAATGAAATTGTTATTGCTACAAAGCGTAGATGTTATGATGAAGTAGAAATTTTTCAAAAATGTAGGAAGGGATTAGAAGCAGTATGATCGATCAAGTTGCGTGAGTTTGGGATTTGTTTGGTGGTTTTTTTTTTTACACAAAGTATACTGTGTTGCCTTGATCTGTTCCTTACTACCCTTTTCTACAGAAATAACTTAATGAAGAAGTTGAATTATCAGGACCAAAAATATTGCTTGAGGTTTAATTCTCTTATTTTAATAGCAGGTTCCTCACCTAGCTCCAGTAGCAGCTCTTCTGTTAATCCAATGGCTTCTCTTGGAGCGTTGCAGACACTGGCAGGGGCTACAGCAGGCCTCAACGTTAGCTCTTTAGCAGGTAAGCTATGGGTTGGGGGAACAGCTGGTTATCATTTCTCGGGCTGTGCTCATTCTGTGAGTTTTCTTTTTTTTCCTGTTTCCTGCTTTTTGTAATAGTGCAGAGTATTTGAAAGGTAATTGATCTGGCTCAGTAGAAGTACTCAGTCATCTTTATTTCCTCTTTCTTATACAGGAATGGCAGCCTTAAATGGAGGACTTGGCAGTGGTGGTCTCTCAAATGGGACAGGTAGCACAATGGAAGCTCTCACGCAGGCTTACTCTGGAATCCAGCAATATGCTGCTGCTGCATTGCCCACACTCTATAACCAGAGTCTCTTAACACAGCAGAGTATCGGTGCAGCAGGAAGTCAAAAAGAAGGTAGGGAGAAAGTTTAGTAACAACTTGAAAGGGGTTTTCAAAATACCAGCCCTTGCAGCTACCTTATCTGCAGAGCTTTTATTTGGCGGTATTTTTTAGAATCCTAGAGTTACTGAAGAAAAAGAAGGAAGACCTGTGAGGTCTCTTTGTTAAGGGCTGGCCAAAGCAGTTTTTATATAGGAGGTTTCTCCCAGGATTTGTTTAGTCTTAAATGCTTCATAATCATACTCCTCCATTTTCTCGGAGGACGGGAGAGTACGAATCTGCAGCCTGATACATCCCACTGTGAGAGAATCAGTTGTGGTTTTGTTCATTTTGTTTTCTTTGTCCTTCACCTCTTCCCACAGATAGTTAATGCCAATCTCTTCACTCTTCAGATTCAGAATCAATTTAGCATGTAGTGTAATGAAGAATGTAGAGAAAGTTTTCAGCAGAATGTGGGTTGATGTTTAGAAAAGAATCTATCAGATTACAAGTAGTGCAATTACTTGTATTTAGTATTGAGATTTACTTAGTTTGTTTGGGCCGCAAGCTTTGCATAGCCGGTTTTGGTTTAATCATCATCTGGGGCTCAAACTTACTGTTCAGCTTCCATTACAGCAAAGATCTGTGAACCGGTTTTGGCACAATGTGGAAATTACAAGCAAAAATGGTGAGAAAGGGCTAGAATTATTTGAATGATCAATCCCAGCAAAGGGTCATGCTGATTTATTCTGGAATCAAGTACTCCACAGAAGTGCAAACAGCAGTTTCATTGTTTTACCTAGAAAATTTGGCTTGAATGGCTCTTTCACCTTTTTTTTGTGAAATGGGCCTGCGTTATCCATGCTTTTTCTGAATTTATATTCCTACTTGTTGTTTGAAGGTCCAGAGGGAGCCAATCTGTTTATCTACCATCTCCCCCAGGAATTTGGGGATCAGGATCTGCTGCAGATGTTCATGCCATTTGGAAATGTCGTCTCTGCCAAGGTTTTCATTGACAAGCAGACCAATCTAAGCAAGTGTTTTGGTACGTTGGGTCTGATCATTACCTGTAGAAAGGTGGCTTCTTTCTAGTAATCTCTTTTCCAGTATATTGTCTAGTCTAGCTTTTAAGTCAAGTAGTGACTCTTTCTCTATATTTCTAAAAAACAAATAAATTGGTCTGAACTCTTCCAGCAATGAACTGTGTGTTCCTGATTTTGATTATGCCTTTTTGCTTTTCCTGATTTCATACTATTATGCCTCATTATACTGTTTTGGCCCTAGATAATTCTCTATGATTCATATTTGCAGACTGTAATCATGGTATAGTTCTTCCTCTTCCCCCTTTCTCTCTTTCCACTAATTGTTTACGTTGCTGTATATACTAATTACTATATTATCATTATGAATAATTGCTATTAGTATTTTAATACATAATTATTACAGGTACCATAGAGTACAGGAGCATTTGACTCTGGTGTTCTGTAAATGCTCTGAAGGCAATTTTTAAAGTTTCCTCCTAATTCTTGAAAACTTTGTAATAGTAAAACCATTTCAGCTGTTATTTACTACCTAACTTTGGTTGCATCTCTTATCCTAATTTTGTTCTGCTTAGTGTATATTTAGATGGGAGGCACATCAGGGAGGGAAGTGTATCCTAAAAGTGTAGATGAACCTGTTGTGCTATTGTTATTATCCAAGTAGATGATTTTCAGTGAATTGCTGAAGTCTGCAATGCCAAAAGAGCAAAGAATGTATTCTCCCTTAGCTTGTGTAGCAGAAGGCTGAAAGATTCATGGTTTTATTTTCCTCACTTTGAAACCTCAGTGCAAGCCGTTGTATCGTTTTTGTAGTGCGGTAAGCTCTCGTGACTATTTTGATAGATGGAGATTTCTTGTGATGGAATAGGAGAGGTGAGCCTTTCTCTATGGTTTTCGTAGCTTTGTGCCTACATCATAGCCTGTATTTTTTAGTATTTGAGCCAAAAGATGTGGACAATCTCATGCTTTGTGAAAACACAAAAATATGCTGAGCATCAGGCTGTAACACCTGCGTATGGAATGATCTCCCCAGGTAGTGATGCCAGCCATTGACTGGAGTTATTTAAAATGGGTTCCTTGGAAACCCTGGAGAAGTTTATTTTGAGGATGCTCTTCCCCTGGAATGATATACAGCTTTTCGCCCAAGAGAAACCTAAACGCAGTAGTGGTACAAGTGCCACACTACCTTTAGAGCTACTTCACTCTAAACAAATCTGCTCCCGTAATGCCAAGAAGGTGATCTCAGTCTTGTATCTTTAATGAGCTTTCATATATAGATTAACATTTTCCAGGTTTGGTCTTCTCCCAGGTATGAGTTCTTATAAAACAAACAGCAGTACTCATTTTTCTTGAAAGACTAGAAAATGATATTTTAATTTCCTGAGCTCCGTATATCTTTTGGCCAAAGTTTCATTATGTCAGAAAGCAATGCGTTGTCAGAGCGCCCTTAGTAAGAAGTTTTTGTGAAGAATCTAAAACAGTTGTGAGCTTCTGAAAATGGCATTTCATGCAAGCCTCTCTTACCTTGTGAGTACCTGTGTTTCCAGTTGCAAGTAGCTGTTCTTGCCAGCTTTGGCATGGTGTAATTAATGTATTTTCCGTTTTTCAGGTTTTGTAAGTTACGACAATCCTGTCTCTGCACAGGCTGCCATTCAGTCAATGAACGGCTTTCAGATTGGCATGAAGCGTCTGAAAGTACAGCTCAAGCGCTCTAAGAATGACAGCAAGCCATACTGAGCGCCCCTCCCCTCCGGGACTGGAGTGAGAAGGATCTTCTGGTAAGTTGGAGAGGAGCGCACTTAGTGATTCGAAGCCCTAAGGCTGTGTTTTTACAGTCCTGGAAGCTGATCCATGCCTTCTATCTGGCACATCTTCCCCTGAAGACTCGGCCGCAGCCTCTGCAGAGAATCCCGCTTCGGATGGAGGACAAGTTTGTGCTTTTGTTTCCAGTGTTTTACTTTGGAGTTTAGGTGCCATATCGCTGAGGTTGTTTTTTTTGTTTTGTTTTGGTTTTTTCCCCCTTATTTGAAGTTTGCTGTGTTTGTAACCAGTGTGTGTTGAGAAGGACCAATGCCAGCTCCTTGGGGGTGGGGAGGGAAGGTTAAAGGGAGCAGCAGAAACTGACACCACACTGCCTTGGGGTAGAGAGAAGGGGAAGCAGAACTGACTCCACACCGCCATGGGGGAGAGGAGAAGGGAAAGCAGAAATAACACAAAGCAGCTGATGAAAACAAAGAGCTGAGTCCATCCAAGTCTGGGTGAGCAAAGAACCGACTCCCATGTAGCCTTTATCATACCCCATCCACTCTTGGAAATTTACTTAACTTTATGCCATGGTGGGGATGTAGTAAATCATCTCTAAAGCAGGAGACAGGATAGAAGGGTGAACACATTAACAAGCCAAAGGAAAACTGCAGTGATATTTTTTTCCTGTATATAAAGTAGTGTTTATATAGCACTGTGAATGTACACAGCACTTTATAAAATTACTAGATAATGTCCCTGCCCAGAAAATTTCACTGTCCATTTACAGTTGAATATTAATGAGATGCAGTGAATTTCTCCATATGTAAGAAAACTTACCCTATGTACTTTATTTAGGTTTTGTAGAAGGGTATAGAGAGAGACAGCTTAGTCTGGATAAATACATCTGGGGCTGGAAACAAGAAACTTTTGATCCCTGGTAACCTGCAGAATTTTTTTGGACAATTTTTCTTCTTAACAGTTCATCACATTCCCCATTTCTGTGGAGTAATGTCCTTTTTGCAGAGTATTACTTTGAATTCATTCTGATAAGCATAATGTAAGTGCTGTTCGTTTCTCTATTGAAATGACTGTTAAATTGAGATACAAAGCCCAGAGTTACCCTAACACAGCTCATGAGGCTCCTGTATCATACATGTTCTCATAGGATTTGATTTCTGAGTCTTAACTCCTGTTGCAAAAATAACTTCCTGGGTTGTTTTTTTTTAAACAAACCAAAACAACAACAAAACCCAACAATTTATGCAGTGATTTGGTCTGTTAATTAGGTATTTCTTTATACTGCAGTTTTCCTTTAAGGTGGTGTGTACCAGTGCAAAACAGGCTGATACAGGAGCTGTGGAACCAGAGGAGAGCATTGAGCCATTCAGTCTTATTCTGCCTTTTTGGTACTAGCTGTTATCTTCTATATTGAAGGAAAATTGAACACACCCCTTCAAAGAACACACACTTTTTCTGCACACTTGTGAAACTGCTAATGCGTTGCTAAAGGCCTTTGTTATACACTGGTTTTAGGGGGCTCAAAGGACTTTTGACACTCTGGCCTGAGTTGTTTTAAGAAATCAGAGTCCCATTTGATAACCACCAAAATCCACCTCTGTCACAAGAGGAAGTTTACAATTTCTGTGCGTTTTTAACAGAAGTTCCATTTACCTCATATTTTCTCCTTTTCTTTGTTTTCTTTGTATTCCTGGTTCGTGATGCTGTTTCCCAGGGCACCAGCTAACACTGCAGTCTGGGAGCCAGCTGCTAAATAACGAGCATGTGGGTCAGACACGGGGTTGGGACTTTCTGTTCTGCTCCAGAAGGAGGAGCACTAAACCCATCAAACCTGAGATCACGTTCAGAATCCGCACCCATGTGCGGTGGGGTGGTCTGTTGGGAGTGTCAGGCGTTCCCAGGGACTGGGTCCCCTGGGATCTCAAACCTCAGAAGTACAAGGCCTGACCCGTAGCATCCAAGAAGAGCACTTTCCATCCTTCAGTTGAAAATCAAACAGTTAGTTGATGCCAGTCTGTCTATATTGATGGCAGACAGGTAAATCTTATCAGTATTATTCAAATCATTTTGCGGTGGCAAAGGTTCAAAGGCCAGATTGCCAAATTTCCCAGTTACGTTGGCATGTGGTACCCTTCTATGTTAATTATTTGAATCTCTTTAGAAACGTAAACATAGACTTAAGTAAACCATGTACACTTGAATTCTGCACAATGGGAAAGATGTGTCCTGGTTTTCTGAGAAAAGAGTGTTGGAGTGTGAAGGCCTCCAGGGTGATAATGGGATTTTTTTTTTTTTAAATAAATAATATACTTTTCAAAAAAAAAGAAAAAAAAAAGAAAAAAAACATAATTGGGAGCAACTGCTCCAAGTGCAACCTGCTGTAACCAAGAATGTTATTTCTATTTTTATAGAAGTTTTATACCGCTCCAGGGTGGAGAATATTTATTACCTAAATTATTTCACTGGAAAAAAGGCCAGGGTTTTGTAGAATCCTGAATGTGATTGTTTTACACACATAATGATGTGAATGATTGAAACTACTGATTTTCAGTGGCCTGTTTGCAGCCCAACAACTGCTAAGTGGGGAAGACGAATGCTGTGAACCAGTGGAGGAGAGCCCTGTGCTCTGGGGTCTCTACAGTCACTCTTACCTTCTTTGCACCCTGCCCCACTGTGCTATCTGAGACCTTTGTCCTGTTTTTCTTTTAACCTGGTGCTCTGGCCTCTTTACTAGTCATTTCAATTGCCCAAAATTAGATATTTTAGCTTCTGCATCCTATAATGTGTCCTCAGTACTGTAATTTATGGATCAAGGTTGGCATTGTTGCAAATGGGTGGAACTCCTATTGACTTTAGGAGATTCACTGGTTTACACTGTGGCTTAGTTTGATCAGTGACTCCTCCCAGACATAATCACCTTAAGACACCTAACTTGGGCTAGTTCTTGTGCCTTACTGGCATAACTATAAGTGTTGCCAAAAAGAAAAAGAAAAAAAATAATCTATGCAGGTTAAATTTTAAATGATGTGATCCTCAGGTGGTTTGAATCAATGCAGTTCTGCTAGCTTCAGTAGAGCTGCATCAATTTTCACCAGCTGAAGATGTTGCCCTTTTTGTGTATTTGTTTCAGATTTCTTTTTCTTGGTGTATTAATGTAGATGTTGCCAAAGTTAATAAATGTATCAAGTTTGTGACTTGGGCAGATTTTTTTCTGATAACAGAAGTGATGAGATAAAGTCAACATTTCTGTGTCTGTTCGGTGGCTGCCACTGACTCTGGAGATTTAGGCTTTTCTTGCCTTCCAGTCTTAAGCCAGTTTTCTTCCTCATTCGGTGGCAGGGAAGTCTGGGATTTCGGAGACTTGGGGTTTTTAAATTTTATTTTATTTTTAATTCCTATCATGTTCTCATTCAAGTGCAAATCGAATCAGTGTCAAATGCTTTATTTCCTGGATAGTAGGATAAGAGTTGTGTGAGTTCAAATAAACTGCAGAAGGATTGGCTTAAGTAGCCGCTTGGACAAAATATTCTGTATGCTCATAAACCAAAGAATCGGAATTTTCTACAACAAAAGCTAGTAGGACTTCTGATGAAATGGAATTCCATATTACATGTGCCACCAGGAAGTACTTACGTATTTTTAAAAACAAGATGGAAATGGTCTACTTCATAAATTTATTTTTTTTTCTCAGAAGACATTTGATTTTACTAGATATGCCATAATGAGATGAAAGTCTTATGAACAATTGAAGTCTTAGTCTGATGCTATGTAGTATCGTACCATAGTAAAGGAAATCATAAATTCTTCAGCCCCCTAGATAATCAGCAGTCCAAAACAGGATATGTCTTTGTAATTTAGGTGTTTTTCTTTCAGTAATACAAAGCTTGCATTATTAGAAAATGCCTTTGATATATAGTGATTAAACTCTAAACAGAATGAGGATTGGAATTTTTCAAAAGTATCTGAGACAGTGATGATGAATATCTCTTTATATTTTAATGGTGAGGATGTTTACTAGCTATGGGCACTACTATCTGGAAAACAGGCACCTCAGATAATTTCTAACTGGCAAATACTTCTATAAGGAAAAAGCTTTTTGTGTGAATGCTGAAGGTCACATAGCATGATAGATTCTGCCTGCATGATAGAATTAACTGTAGTGTTTCTTCTTGTTAGTCTTTTGAGTTAGGGCAGAACAGCCAAGCAGAATGAAATTGTTCCTGTTTCATTTGGAAGTAGCTAAAAGCAACTTGGATAAAGCAAACTACAAATGAAGGGTGCAACTATGAACACGTAAAATGCTTTGAGAGCTACTTGTTGCAAATATTTAAACATGAGGATGTTATATATCCCTGAGCATACCTACCACAAAATATAAAACACACAAGGCAGAATTCTCACAGTTGTGAGAATAAAATAAGGACAAACTGGAATAACTTTCCCCAAGTCATTAAGTTCTTATCCAGCATCTCATGGCTCTGCTCTTGTAGGCCAGTCCTTCCTCAGGGTCTTAATGAAACTTAGTCTTCCCCCTCAGAATTGCTGAATGAAATATTTGAAAAATCTCTGTCAAAAAAAATCTCGAACAAATCACACAATTTCTATGGTGCATACTTAGATGCCATTTGAGTTCACGCCTCAGTTCGTGGTGAATTTGCCTTTCAGGTTTAGGACTGAAACCTTACAGCTATCTGCAAACTATCTAGAGTATTTCTAGAACTGTAGAAATAACTGCAAGAGTTGCACTGTACTGCGTTTGCTGGAGTTGGTTTAAACTCCATATGAAGCTCTTTTTCTGAATTGGAAAGTATGAAGAGCAAATTAACCTCAGCAGTTCTAGTAACTGGAGTGTTGCAGGTTTAGTGGACAACATGCTTCTTGTTGCTTTGGAACTAGAATCCGACACTCAAACATGCTATAAATGCTATAAGATAATACGCAAGTCTCACCTTGCTCTAGTCTCTAACCAACAGCTTTGAAATGTGCTGAAGAATAAGGCCACAAACAGGAGATAAAGGGCAGTTGGGGAGGGAGGAAGAAAAAGGAGGAAACTTGTTTCCTCTCTCCCCTACCTCCCATATTCTTCCCAAAACGTTCCTGGTCTCTTGCAGCTCACAAGCTGAGGGGAGGAAACAAAGGTATTTATATCACTTAATATAAGAATTATTTTATTTATAAACTCTTCACGAAATCTTCAGGAAAC